TTTTTTGCCTTATCATATTAAAACCACATGATTTTACAAGTGAACTACAGATCAACAATCATCAACATGCTAGCAGGAAGAAATCTGTGTAGGTTATCAGTAAAGATTTTTCTTATAGCTTATTACGCAACTCGTGTTGAAATGTGCACACCATGTTAAAAGGAAATAGTGAAAACAGGAAACAGTGGTACATGTCCTATGAGTTGCATGGTGGTTTGTCTTTGTAATTTCTCAAAAAAAAAAAAGTTTAACAAGAAGCAAGACATACTTTTAAAATGCTATTTCAAGGAACTGGGGGAAAATAGGGCTAGTAACTGTTAAAATATTGACACACGTTGAGACCACAAAATAAATGAAACACTGAATAAAAAGACAACATGAATAACGGAAATAATGTAAATTTCCCAAACAAAGCTTTGCTATATATTATTATTATATTATTTATTATTATTATGTTGCCAATGAAAGATTAAGTTAAAAAAAGACACCCAACTAAAGCAAAACATTTATGTATAACAATTTATTCATTTCTTTGCATTGCAAACCCTATAAATGTCCAAATAACTTAATTCATGAAAATGTAATTTATGAAAACAAAGATACAGGATATGGACATCTTAGTGCAAACACTTGACAATATGAAGCAATCCAACACAAAATACAGCACAAAAAATGTTACAGCTCAGATCAAGACATCTCTGACAGTCTAATAACATTTGTTTATTGCTGGGCCGTTATATGGATTGCATTATATCATACAAGTGCTACTATATTGGGTCCACTCCACAGTATAAAACAGGTCCACTCCTTGTTGTAGTGTGATGTGATGTCTAGTGTTTCCCAGTCCTGTAATGCTCGACTGTGACCAGCAGGGGGAGGTCAGGCTCAAAGAACCTCCCAGTAACAGAACACGCAGTGTCTAAAGCTGCTTGTGGTTTGCAGCTGATTCACTGGTGGTGAACCTCTTGTCACCACTGAAGCATCACTCTTCTAGTACCAGTTTTCTCCATCGTGTTCGAGCACATCTCCTCGGCACCTCGAACTGCCGCACCTCTGCGTCTCACGTGCTTTATCCAAAGATTCATGAGTCCAGGTACAGAATCAGCCCCTGAGGTGGATCTCAGCCAAAACAGCATTAGCACCGTCACTCAAGGATTTTACAGTCATATATGCAAGAGGTCAATAACGGCTGTGCTCATCTGTTGCCGTGACGATGACATCCATCCAAATCCGCATGGATACTGCATTGGTAGCCACCAGAAAGAAAAGACGGTCGTATGTCTTCACACAGAACGTCAGACTGGGCCGTGGAGACTGAAAGGAAGCGACAGACAGTAATAATGTCATAAATCAGGAGAACGGGACGGACGGGTTTTTGCATTGATTTGTTCAGCAATTACTTATCTCACTGTAGAGATTTGTATTATACCATTATACTGAACCCAAAAGTTATCAAAAATAGACTTTATATTTTTCATTACAATAGTTCATTTGAAACTTTTCTAATGCTGCTCTCCCAGTTGCGTCTTGACTTTCTGAGAAGCGGAAGAGCTGGCTGTTGTTGCTTTAGTGTGAAATAATAGGGTTTTTTTCACAGAAATAAAACACCCCAAATAATTTTTTTTAACAAACTATAGCAGATATTTCTGAGATTGTAGATGAACAGTTGATTGCATTAGAGAAGACTGATATTTAGATGTTCAATACAACTCTGACTAACACTAAAAGGAAGATTCTGATGTTTTGTGCACAATCAGTTGTTCAGTGGTGGTAGAAATACTCATTGGTGCATTGTAAAAAATACTCCATTACAAGTACTCGTGCTTCAGAAAATGGCCCCTGTGATATATATTAATATACATACATTTTTCTGTGTTAGCTAGTCCACGTAAAGCTAGTTTTAATTACTGAGCATACTGTTAGGATTTATGCGGGAAAATTAAAAAAGAGTTTGCTGATGCTATTGTGCCAACTTAAATAATTTTTTTTACTTCAATCACCCAATATTGTTAAAGACTAATAAGAATTCAATACGTTATGAACTGTTTTGGGCTTCTGAAAGGGGGCATGACAGAAAAAGCATGAGAACCACTGGGCTACACTTACATATAATTATTTGTGCTGTTTTTTGTGAAATATTGCCACAATAGTGAAACGCTGGTTTAATCTTTAACAATTAATTGTATTTCCTAAACTTATTGTATGTTTTTTAATGTAAAATCTTGATTTTAAAAGTAACTAGTAACTATAGCAGTCTACTAAATACAGTGGAATACAAAGTACAATATTTCACAGTGAAATACAGCAGAGTAGAAGTAGAGCATACAATGGAAATATTCAAGTAAAAATTACTTGTACTTACTTATGTTGCACAACTGAGGACAAATTATTTTGTAGTTTTACTTGAAGTTATAAAACTCCTCATGTTGATTGATGTAAATGATACAAATTGAGATTATATAATATGACAGGGTTTCCCATGGTAATTGTAATGTAACCGTAAACCATGTCGTGTGACACGTTTTACAATATCTGAGACTTGCCAGCAGCAAATAATGCTCTAGTCAGCAGAATTAGTGTTACCTGACACCTGCTTTTGAAATCTAATACAGCAATTGCAGAGATTGTCTGTGTTTTCCCATGCAAATCTGCCCTGTCTGCAATGCATAAAACATTACTTTAAGTCATGTTAATACACTGCAATAAAAGCAGACATGGGGAGTAAATTCCCTAATCACATGAGATGTCGAGATTCTAGATCAGGTGAAATAGTGCTCTAACTTCAAAGAATCTTTATGTTTAATGATGGCCAAGCATGTTAGTCCTAAAACAAGCCTATAGGTCCTTTTCACCACGACTCTTAGCCTGATGTCCAGTTTAAAGTGCATTTATCAAATTATTCCTCTCCACAGACTGAAAGATTTTTGTAAGTCAGTTGGTGAACTGTAGGACAACTCACAGAAGTAGCTGTTCGTAAATGGTCGTAGTAAACTTCTTCAATGGCCTGGAAGTAGATGACTCCCTTTAGCTTCCTTTCATCACAGTCTGCAGCAAAGGGAGAAGCAGGTTAGAAAAACAATGTAGTA